GAAAGCTCGAGCTTTGAGCTCTGGGCCGGGTTGCATGGGAAGCTCAACACTCAGAGCTGGGGAGAGCTGGAGAGGTGGGAGGGGTCAGGAGGGGTAGGTTGCACATGGTCGCCTTTTAGCGCGCTTCGTAACATGGCCGATTCAGCTAGTAGTAAACTATCCTTTACAAAAACCCTGGTTTAACTAGCCATAGGAGTATCATCCGATATACTTAGTTTCATTCCATTAGATAAGTCTGGTCATAGTCTGAGAATTTCTATTACTCGAAGTGTGAGCATTTCTCGAGGGCTTGAAACTTGGCAAAAATCCCCCTTATGCTTACCTGCAGCTGTCGCAAACCTCCAGAGAGGGGAAGCGGTCCCACCGGCCTTTCCGAAATGCTGGTCACTGATACTGTACTGTATCTCTGTATGTACGATACGGTAACGACGACCTTTTGTTCAATTCCCACATGCCCATATTTTCCATGTCCCAGTATTGAGGTTCAGACTGGGACCTGAAATCGCGGAATCCCCTCAAGTTAGGTTAGTGGGGGATGCAATAGCCCTGGATGCGAAACACTTCAATATTGCCTCGTATAGTAGAGTTGAGCCCTTCACAAGGATGATCATCATTTGCCCGAATGATTGAATTTCTCGGTGAGTTCAGATTGGCGCACCCCTCTCAGAAAATTTTCTTACCGTACGGTCATGTCACCCGAGGTATAATGGAGTCGTTCTACACTAAAGTTTTGAGTAGTAAGTGGGAGTGTCATTGATTTTTTGAACGCCCTGACGGTCCTACGCCGTACGACCATTAGTACTTGCGTCTACAAGTACTAGTGGACAGTGTCTTCAATACATGCTAGGACCGGCTGAAATTTGTATGAGATCATATCATATCATCTATCATATCACCAACTCTTCTCGATCAGAGGAATGCAGGTTCGGGAGGCTACATTACAATAAAACGAGAGCATACCAAAATGGAACCGTGTCTCTGGGCGGCTATGCCGGCGATCAAAATCTTTTTCTTGTGTTCTTTTTTCTTTTTTCTTTTTTTCTTTTTTTTTTCTTTTTTCCTCTTTCTGTTTTTAACTAGTAATACCGGGTTGACTCTATTGTTGAAGGTTCCAATCTACAGGAGGGCTCATGTTGTACCACGCGATAAGCCCCAAGGGATAATCATATCGGTCAAGGGATATGCTTATCGGCAGGTGCTACGGTGGTAGCTATCGATTCTACTCTTAGATGCGATATTATACTCCGTAAGCTTAGGTTTCAACACCCACCGAACCATGTAAATGATGTATCGATACCAACAAGCTAGACGTTCGCAATCAGACGACAAGCCCATAGGAAGAACACCTATGGTAGTAACTTTTTGTCACTTTCCCTGGTACGAGGTGGTATTTACCATGTCACAAACCTTGGTTGTGCAGTCTGGCATTATTTTCTTGAATGGGGTTTTTATTACCCGGAGCTCTTTTCATATACGTTTGTTTCCATTTATGTATCTGTATGCGACGGGCAAGCCTTTGATGGAAAGACCGCACCGCAACGTCGATTCACTATGAAATTCATTCTTGTTCCTTTCTCAAGGTTGAATCTTTCAGTTCATTTGCCTCCTGCATAACCGGTTGTGAGGCCACGCGGTCGGCGGTTCCCGGGGGCTGAGGGCTCCCATCCATTAGGGGTTTAGTGAGGTATCCATACCCAGTAATTAATAAAATTTACGCTCAATACCACCAAGTGACCATTTAAAAGCAAAGGAGCTAAGCTGCGGTATCTACTGCTTTTTTTTGCCCACCCACACAAGATACTGGACTGGAGACTTTGTCTGTTTGGCTTCATATATTTTTCTTGCGCTTTCTCCTTTTTTTTTTTCTCCCCCTCTCTTTTCTTTTACCTCTTCGGATTCCTTGCTTGGTTTGTCCTTGCGTCTTGTTTTATTGTTCCTCTTCATAGTTCTTTTTTTTTTTGTTTGTCATCCCCATCTACGAGCTGTCACCTTGGGCTATAAATTACATTTTCCGTCTTTACAACTCCGTACCGGCACTCACTAAGCTCCAGAGAGAGAGTATTGAGTTACCCACTAACAGGACGTTAGTGACTGCCACTAACTGACCTTAGCTTCCCTTTCCCCTCTCCCTTGACTGCTACAGCGACCTTTAACTTAGTACTCGACGACTCCAGAGTAAGAGTACTACTACTACCTGCGTCTCTTCGCAAAGCACTGGAGCTTTGCACTATTACTCATTCCTCTATCCCCACAAGCCCTATAGATCTCTCTGTATCTTTTTCTTCTTTTCTTCCTTCTCAACCTCAATTCACCAATTTGATCACTTTCCTCCCCCGAGTTTCCATAACCCCTCTACCCCTCCATAGATCGCATGCGATTTTTTTTAAACCATCGCGGATCATTTTGATTTCCTTTGATGGAGCATGTGCTTGTCGATTGGGCTCTGCTGTTTGAATTGAAACTTCTCATTTGATCGATTTATGGGATTATCTCCCTTTCATACATTAGCACCTGAGTTGTTCGCCTCCCCCCCGTCCACTCACCCCGCCGCCAAAGACGGATTCATGCAGACCATGCCGCCTCGAGCGTCTTTGACTAGTTCTTTCTCTGTCACCGACGCCAATAATGAGGTCGTCTGTCCCTTGAAGAATAATGACGGCTCCAATTGTCGGAAAAGATGCCTCGGTGTGAGTATTTCCCCCAACTTTTCTTTGTGTGTCGGCCGATCGATCGGAGCCCCACTTCTAGAAACGCCCGCTATCACAGCTGTACGACGCTTTTATCGTGCGAAAAGACCAGCATTCCATGTTGATCTGGGCTTATTAACCCTATTCGCCCGTTCTGAAACTTTTATGAGTTCTTATCTAACGTTGCTATGCGCCCCTACAGGAGAAACGCTATCGCTCCATGCAGGAGCATATCCGGCGGGCGCATCCAAATAATTACATTCCGAAGCTCCCGGCCACCGAAGAGAGCTTTATCTTGATGGTCACCACCCCTCCGGAACAGCGAGCTCAGATATCTCCACCAAATCAAGGTCAATCTCGCCGTCGCAATGGTGAGTGGCTCACAGAGCATAACTTTTAATGGGAAGCCGGAGAAGCTGACATGCGCCGATGTAGCCGACCGAGATATATACGTCGCTGACGCCAGCTCACCCGCAACCCCACGGGGCATCGACGAAGCTCATCCTGCTGCCGCAACTGCTGCTGTCGCATTAGCCCAATTGCACCATAATAGATTAGCCTCCGACTGGGATACGGATATGGTATGTACGCTGGGTTGTTTTGTGTCTCAGTTTTATTTTTCTTTTCTTCTCCTGAAGATAAGCTAATAATCCGTCAAGGAAACCCACTCTGATAACGACATCGGACGGGAACGCATGCGGTCTTCCATTGAGCTACCCTCCCTTCGCGACCATTTCAAACAGGAATCATTGCCGCCTTTTTCTCCACGCCCGCGAGAGCTTCTGCCATCGATTCTCAACCACTCGCCCCCTGGTCGCTCATCAACCCTTCCTCCCATCCAGAGAAGAGACAAATTGCCCCGCCCTCGCAAGTCCTCCATATCAGCGGCACGGAAACCTAAACATGAGCGGGTCAAGTCGAAGGAATATGGTCGGCGCCCTAGCCTGGGCGATCGCAAAGCACTGTCCGCTGAACCGCAGACGGCAGCGTGGGCCCAAGGCAAGCGCTGGGAGGATCTGATTGAAGCGGCCACGTCAGCCACGGAGGCAGATGATGACCGACAGTCAGAGGTGAGTTCGCTATCAGATACCGAGGAACGACGGGTTCACCCGCTGTCTCTTCGCGAACAGCTTTTAACTGTTCCGTCCCAGGTCGGTCGGTCACCGACCCTTGCACCTCTGATTTCGAACATCACCTCTGCTCCTTCTGCTCCGGGGAACCGGTCATCACTCCCTCCTGCTTTCCAGTCGGCGGGCGGATTGCCCCCACCCAATTCTCATCGCCCATTTCCTCCGCATTCTTTTGGTGCGTCCCATTTGCATAAGTCCTTGACTCCTCCACCGTATGAAACAGCCCGCAGCCGCGACAGTGATCTGGAGCCTTTCCCGTCCATTGAGTCTTCCTTGGACTCGGCATCGACTGCATCAGGGAAGAATTTTGCATTCTCGGGTCATCTTGGGCCGTTGGCAAAACCCGATGCCAGTCCTGGTTTGAATCTCTTCCCTCGCCAGCATCATCGCTTCTCCAACCCAACTCCGGCATCATTTCGGCAGAAGGAGGTCCAGGTCTACTGCGCTAGCTGTCACCGGCCCTGGGCCTTGAGCGACTGCTATGCCTGCACAGAATGCATTTGTGGGGTATGCCGTGAGTGTGTGGGGATGTATATCAGTAGTCCCACTGCGTCCTTTAGGAATGTGACGTCAAGCCCGGGTAGCGCCATGTCGCACGGTCCAACGAGCTACCCTCCTCGGGGTTGTCCGCGGTGTCGTACCATGGGAAGCAAGTGGAAGGCGTTCCAACTTGAATTTAAGTGAGCCATCAGGCTGACATTTGCGACGTTTTGAACTTTACGCTGCAGGATCATGTTTTACGGATGTTACGATTAATGTTGAGGGTCACGGTTACTCAAAAGGATTACGCTTCAATGATGATATCTACGCTGGCGACAATGCATTCGTCCACGAGCCCCCGTCCATCTCAGGGCGAACTTTCCAAGGGCTGGACTAACCGTACATGCCACGCACGATAGGATGATTGAAAAGCTGGGCTTTTTTCTTTTTCTTTTGCGTTTTTATTTGATTTGCAATTTGGTGTGGATGTGTTTATAACATCGCTGGGCGGTCTATATACACTACGGTGGCATTTTGGTGTTCTGTTACACTGTACTTGAATGACTCGCAAGATGCGCATTTGGAATGATATTCAAAGACATACATGAAGACATATGAAGCCGACAGGCGCCTTTTCTATCCTGAAGTACGAATGGTCAAGAATATAGGTATACAATACACGTATCCAATTACAGGCATCAATCTACTCGTACCAGACGATGCTACTCAAGCCACCCCAAGTTCCCTCCGCGGGCGCCTCGCCAACCAGCAGAGAAGCGACTTCACTGAGCAACTTCCCAGTCTGCGGATCTCTCTTGAGGATGACTACCGTGGACGAATCTTGATTACCGACCGCGACCAGATCCCCCTTCTTGTTAATCACGAAGCTGCGCGGGGTCTTGCCACCGGACGAAAACAGGTCGGCGTCGGTCACCTCTGTCTGTCCTGGTTTCAAGGTGACCAGGGAATCATTGCCATCAAATTTACCATCCTTGCGGACCGAGATATGCAGGGTCGGTCCCGCTGCCCGGATTTCACCTAATGTCGTTTTATCCGAGGGAAACTTTGAGCCGGGGTACGGGCGGAAGCAGGCCGTCAACTGCTTGAATTCGGGGCACCCGCCATTCCTATATGACACGTCGAACGGACACATATAGCCGCGGAGTTCTTCTACGGTATACAATACCGCCTTTTCTCCGTTGCGCCTTGTCAGCCGCCCGCCATGCGGTTTGCTGCCCAGCCAGGCGTGGTGAGCTTCACTCGAGGTCACAAACACTCCATGACGCGGCCCGCTTCCTGGAGCAAAATGGATAGTCGAGTTGAATCCGCACTTGTTCAGTTTACCCGACTTCTGGTCAATCGCAAACACATGCATCTTATCGGATCCCAGATCCGGCGATAGGAGGAACGATCCGGTGGGGTCGAGAAGCACTTGATGCGGTTGCGACTTGGGCTGTTTTTCGGTAACATTTTTGGGCTGGGGCAACCTCACCACATCGAAGGGGTTCACTTTCTGCTTGTCCGCGAAGGGAATGTTGAAGAGTGAGATGGAAGAGTTGCCACTATATCACGTTGTTAGTACCAAACGTAGCATCATTGGTCTTGCAGGATGGAACGTACTAATGCGCGATCGCGAGGAACTGCTTCTCCTTTCCGTACATGACACTATCGACACCGCCAGGAGGTGTCTCTACCGTCACGACCTCCTTAAACTTCCCGTCCTTCTCGACCTGCAACGCGGTCAATGCGCCGGGAGTGCCTTCACCAACACACCATAGCAGCCCGCGGTCAGGGTCGACGGTCAACGCACTCGTCGAGCCGGCACCGCCGCACGTGGTCAGGTTGTGAGTCTTCGTGAGCGAGAATTTGTCGCCTTCCCCGTCCAAGTTGAGCGAGTATACGTTGCCATCGTAGTGGGTTGCAAAGAGTCTTGCAGCGGTTGAAAGAGAGGGCAGCGCCAGGGAAAGCGCGAAGACAGACTGCAAGAACATTTTCAAAATGAAAGTTAATCGACCAGTCCCGACCGGTCTTAGCTGGGTAGAATAGAAGAACGTAAGAGAGTGTGTTGCGTCGCTTGCGACTTTAAATTTCGAAGGGTCAGTGGGAAAACATCGACTAGTTGGCACGGGGCGTGCAGCGAAATAAATACTACTTGCTCAGCCTTGCAGCAGCGCAGCACGCCTCAGCCCTCACGGTTCATCCCCCCTGTCTCGTTGATTTGTCCAGCGTTGCACAGGAACAAGTCGAGGTGGAGCGACTGGCGCTTTGTCCGGCATGGATCTGCATTGTCCGCTGGTGGACTTGGGTTGCAGTGACAGGTGATTGCCCAGATTCCTTTAATCTTATTCTTTACGCTTTGACGTGTATTGTTGGAGCATTGAAAGAACAGGGTCCTGAAAGATTTTCCTACTATTTCAGGATTCACTGTTAGCCGCCGAAGGTGAGAAGGGTCTTTTCCCACTCATTTGACGGAGTCCTCCGGATTTGCGTCCCCATCCAACTGCAATCACCATCGGATCTTTGCAATGGAAGAAACAATGACTCCGCCCCCAACATGCTAACAGAAGGAGATGGCTTGGCTCCTCTTAGTCAGCAACAAAAGGGACCCCAGCCTTGCAAAGTGATTGATTGATCACTCCCCATCCATCGACTGGGTTGGGCATCCTCCTGTTTCAAGTCATGGTGGGAGTTCCCCAGAGCACCGGCTGCGAAACCTGTCGGAAGCGCAAGAAAAAGGTAAGGGCCACTGAGTGGACACTCGAGAAAAAGACAAACTGGGATTAACCTTCCCTTTCTCTAGTGCGACAACAGGGCACCATCATGCACGGCCTGTGTCGTCTCGGGGCGCATTTGCCCAGGGTATCAAAGAAAGTATAAGTTTATCAATGAGAATGCATCGCTCCTGGCGCATTATCGGAAGAAGAAGTACCTCCTTGAAGAAACCGGTGCTGAGCTAGATGAGACTGTGGCTTTATCGAGGTCCTCGGGTAACCACACTTACCACACGATTCGCTCTTGCGAATGGATGTGTTGGCCCTTGATTTCCACTCAGGACCATGATGCAGCCAATCTGATTTATATCCTACAGGATTCCATGAGTCAGATGATTTTCCCTCTGAACTCACATGGAAGCTTTTATCAGTATATTCCTGGTCGACTGGGGCAGAATGCTGCTCTGGACTCTGCCATTGCTTGTCTTTGTACTGTGTATGCAGATCTTTTGGCTGCTAACGGGGAGATTTCAAAAGAAGCTTGGCGGAAATATGCCCAGAGTACTGGCGCGCTACGTTTGTGTCTAGAGGATCCCGGGCGTTGCCTCCAGTCGGAGACGGTCTGTGCTTCAATTGTGTTGCAGTTGTGTGAGGTATGATACTTGCACTCTTGCTCTGGGATAGACTAATATGTGACAGCTCTTGACAAATGCCGATAACGGTCGGTGGAACCAGTTGTCGCAGGGGACCAAGGCTCTCATGAAGAATTGTGACATACGTCGGTTTCAGCAACCGTTTGAGCGGGCGATGCTGGAATCGCAACGGGCGTTTTTCGTATGTCTATCGATATACCCTGTATTATTGGAGCTTGTATGTTGACGAATGGCAGATTGTTCAGGATATGAACCTGCAACAGCCGTGCTTTCTCGCACAGCCTCCTTGGCGGGAGTTCTTGCGGGAAACGGAAGAGACTGTCTCGACACCTGGAGCGCGGGCTTCTGTTCTGCGGTCGAAGCTGTGCGACTGGCTGGTGGACGTTCCTGTGCTTCTTGAGGAAGTTTCGGGTATCTCGCGTAGTGGAAGCTATGCGATGAAGCTAGAGAGACTTGTGCAACGAGCTATGGCCATACATGGCCAGATAGAAGGTTGGTATCTCGCCGAAGTGGTGCCGGCTGTCCCGTATGTTGAACAAGACGGGGACGACAGTGCGCCACTGCGCCCATCTGCTGAGTACTCTCAGCCCCTCATGGGTGTATTGGATTGCGTGGCAAACTCTACGCTCATTGCCCTGGAAGATGCCATCTCTACCTGCGTGTCTCTGTTATCCGACTCGCACGGTTTCCATGAACCCATCGACTACTCTACCCTAATTCTGAAACGACAGCAGACCATCAGCAAAGCTCTTGAATACGTCCGGGGATACTCACCGGTGGCTGCCAAACCCCTAGAATTTGGCCTACAGCAGCTGCGGTCACTTGGAGCAGGCCAGAAAATATACCTTGAATCAAGTATTCACCAAACCGAATGATCATACTAATACTAATACACATATTCGGAAATAGCTCTACCTACTAAACTAAACAGGAATTCAAGCTTCATCCAGCAACTTCACCATCTCCCCAAAAACCTCGACTACTTCTCTCCTCTCCCCTTCCCAAAATGACAGATCCAATTCCCGCCCCTCCGCCGCAACCATCAAGACATCTTTACTGGGAAAGGTCAATCCAACCGTCCGCTCAACCGGCCTCATCCGAACACCACACAACACCTGCTTCAACTGCTCTGCCGCCTTCCCGCCCCCATGTCCACCATAACTAACAATCATGGCGGGCTTACCCTTCCATTCATGGTACAGGTAGTCAATCGCATTCTTGACACTAGCGGGATACCCCCAGTTGTACTGCGGAGTCACGAACACAAACGCTGCATAGGAAGCGACCTCTTCGGACCATCTCCGCGTATGCGGATGGAGATATTGGTCTGAGGAATGGACCTGAGAGGGGATGCCTGGTTCGTTATACATGGGGAGATTCCACTCCGCCAGGTCAATGAGTGAGAGTGTGACTGCATTTTTGCGGACACTGTCAGTGGCTTGGAGGTCGTTTAGAATGGTAGATCCGATGTGGAGACCGGCGCGAGGAGTGCGCTGGCTGCAGATGATGAGGCCGATTTTAGGGGTCATCTTTCGCCAGAGAGTGTGGCTTGGTGTAGATTGTGAGAGGGGATGCCTGCACAGGGAGTAGAGTCTGTGAAAACTTTTCGCTCTTGGAACAGACAGGATAGAGAATTTATAGCTTGTCTCCAGGGTAGGTCAGTCATAGACCAAAGCCAAAATGTAGGGGTTGATGTTGCGCGCCAATGAGATTCGGTCTGGTGGGTCGGCGGGATCAATCTATTCTTTTTTTAACAGGATTCGAAGACAAGTCCTACGGTAGGAGTGTAGAGGGGGTTTTAGGCCTCGCCACTTCGTCGAATAAGCCCTGTTCTTGAACATCTGCACTAGTCAGTAGATAGCTTGTTTCAAGAACCGTGTAATGAACCCTTTAGAATGAAAGCTATCACGAAAACAGTCCTTGTAAACAGCGAATCCAGAAAAACCTCTAACCGGTTCGGGGACAAATAGATATAGGGTTAAGATAAGAGGATAAGAGCTAGCACATCGTTTCTTCTTTCCCTCATTAGCCTTCTTTGATCATGGCATATTTATTCCTCCATGATTTTAAAAATATAGAAGATGTTGGAACCCCTTAGTAATAGTGAGCTGTAACTACGGTGTACCGCAGGTTAATTATCTCGCCTTCCAAATAGATATAGATAAACTTCTCTCATTTTTGGTAACTGAGAGGCGTATAATTAGAATCTATAGCTCACATAAACACCCAGCTGCCATGACTATAGGCCAGAGGCCGAAAAGTACAAGCAGACCTTCACGACACCCGTATAACCTTCTTCACATCAAATCCATCCTGTGCATTCCTCGAATTATTCCAAGGCAACACATAGCCCCGCTGGTTACTCACAACTCGTACCTCTCCCTCCCTAAAATCAGTGGTATAGTGAGTATGCCCGAACACCCAGACCTTCACCCCATCCAGAGGTATCCGGGACAGGACATCAGTCGCAAAGGCAACACCCCAAGGGCTGTGAGCGTGTTGCGGGCTTGACGTCCCCCGAAGCAGAGGGGCGTGATGCGTAGCAACAAGAACAGACCTTTTCCCACCCCGCTTCTCCATCTCTCTATTTTCCTGGAGTATCAACTGCACCTCGTTCACTAGCCAGGCGAGATCTGAATCATGGTTTGCATTATGGTCCTCAACGGACCAGCCTTCGATCCTCTGGAAGTCTTTCACCTTCGACTGCACAATCTCTCTTGATTCATGGGGTACGTGTGACCAGAGCGTGCAGCCTAGAATAGTAACACAGGAACCCGGGATATCGTATCGATTCTGATGAAGGACGATTAAGCGTCCGTTGAAGCCTGGTTCCCGTTCAAGTTGTCGAGCCTTTTCCAGCCCTGTTGCGAAAGTGCCGTTGTAGAACTCGTGGTTGCCGAGTATGAGGAATACCAGCTTGAATCGGTCGGTTTGCTTTTGTAGGAAATTGCGGTAGTCATTGTAGTCTGTTAAACGACCAATATCGCCGGCGAGGATAAGATGGCCCGCGCAAACAGGGATGTCATACAATGCATACTGCGAGTTGATCTCAAGGTGGAGATCGGAGAGAATCTGGAAGGATATAGAAGGCCGAATTAAGGAGGACTGGCCGTTCTGGAGCATGATGTCGCCTGAAATGCTGTAAGGCTAGATTGAAACAGCAGCTGTAGCTAATAAGAGAATAGAACATTGGGGGACACTCACGTGATTAAATGGGACTTTTATCGTCAATAACATTGCGGGAAGAGTTTGCTGTGTAGGCTCTTCAAGGAAGCTTATTTCTTATTTGTTTCCCTGATATATCCGTCTTTCGTTTGGATTCTCTATTCAGTGTCATTTCTACTGGGGAGAAGGGCTATACTGGGCGTTGTATTTTAATCTTCTCTTTGGCCTTGAGAGGGTTGACTTTTAGTGTTCATGTTGATAGTTTAGCACTAGCAGGCTATTGGGCTTCATCTAGGTCCTCGGTACTTGTGCTGGAGTTCCTATTCTATACCCGTTAACAAGATTATTCTCCTAGTAGATACAGTCAAGGGATAAGTGATCATCTACAAATCTTCTAAAGTGTAGACCTATAATACATCAGGAATTGTACTTGGGGGTTGGAGTTATAGGATAGTATGTACAATATGCTATTATTCTGTTAACGTACACGATTCGATACAGAAGAGACATTTGGTGCACGCTTGTTTTTTATGCTCGAGTGGTAGGTAAACGTAAAATCTCAGTATTCCAAACTTACAACCTTGCTCCTGCTATCAAGTAATAACTCGAGTATTTCTTCATGCCCAAGTTCTTTAGCCACACTAATCGCAGTTTCCATATCCCTTTCTACATTTACTATGCAAAAGTTTAGGTCAGCGTAAAGTTCGAGCAGTAGTTTCACACCCTCCTCATATCCCTGGACTACAGCAAAAGGCAGTGGTGCGGGACCACTAGAGCAGAGGTTTGGACCAATGTGTTTAAGCAAAAGTTTGATAATTCCTTCGTGTTTGAGGAGTAGAGCCAAGAGCAGTGGTATTTCATTGTGGTCTCCTCTGAAATCTGGATCGGCATGACTTTCAAGCAGTAGTCTCACTGCCTCCTCGTGTTCAAGGCATATAGCGTAAGCAAGTGGTGTTCGACTATTCGAGCAGAGATTTGGATCAGCGCATTTAAGCAGGATCTGGATAATTCCTTCATGTCGAGTGGATATAGCGTGAAGAAGTGGTGTTCGATCGTTTGAGCAGAGGTTTGGATCAGCGCATTCAAGCAGGATATTCACAACTCCTTCGTGCTGAAGGAATATAGCGAAAGTCAGTGGTGTGTAGCCGTGTGAGTAGAGATTTGGATCAGCGTATTCTAGTAGGACTTTGACAATCTTTTCATAATCAAGGGATATAGCTAAGATCAGTGGTGTGTAACCTTTTGAGCAAAAGTTTGGGTCCGCATGGCTTTCAAGTAAGAGCCGTATTATGCTCTCGTTTTCACTACCTATGGCACGGAGGAGTGGCGTCCAACGGACACCATCAGAATAGAGGTTCGGATTAGCGCCCTTGGAAAGAAGTAAAGCCACTCCTTCCACATTTCCACCCTCAACAGCCCAGTAGAGCGGAGTTTGACCATGGCTGTCTCTAGAATCCTTGCCATGCCCTCTGTTAAATAGAGCTACGAGGGCTTTTTGTAGGCCAAAATAGGCAGCAAGATGGACACCACTCGCTTGTCCGGGAACAACCTCGTTATCTACACTCCAGAACTTGTAGTTCAGAAGAACCTGGCTACAAGCGGACACCTTGGCCTTACTTTCAAGAAATCCCATAATCAAATCTTCCTTTTTGATCGGTAAAGAGCGGGCATGATGCCCCCAGGTACTAGCAGCATATGCGTAAAACGGGTGTAGCTCAATCCGTTTCTCAAATTCTTCTTTCGATGGACAAAAGCCGCTTTCAAAATCGTCAAAGTGGAGGTATGTGATGCAGCTTGTTGTAATATCATCAATTGATGTTTGAATCCAGTCAAGATTACTGAAATACTCCTGAGTCGTGTAGTGAACTAGCTGGATAGTACGACTCTCCTGATTGAGTATGACAAGTCCTGCACAGAGGGAGGTAATTTCCTCGAACACTGGAAGACGATCTTCTTGAAGTCGGCGGTCTCCTGCTGCTATGGCTAGAGCATGTTGAAGCTCAATCGGTCGTAATGGGTGTATGGCATGGAACACCCAGGATAGGACACGACGGGCCCATGTACGGGAATTTGCCCCTTGATCGTCAATTCTGCTAACCGCATTGTCATACGCCATATCCAATGCTCCTAGCCCTTTTGGGAGGCTTTGGAGAGCTATTCTGAATTCATTCGGTGTTCGTTTGTCTTTTAATGAATCCATGTGAAGGGTGGCGAGGAGGAACCTGTAACTCAAATATATCAGAGGATATTGAAAATGGGCTAGACACCAGTATGTGACAACCTACATGCCGTCAGCTGCGTCACAGATTTGCTGCTTTATGTTCTCCTTCAATCGGCTATCTTGCTGGGCACATTTAGATAGCTCCTGAAAACGATTGTCCAAGTAGCTCTCAATGTCGTTTTGGCTTGCACGAATTTCCAGTCGCGTAGCGCCCTGAATTTCTCGCTCTAGTGAAGGGCGCGACGTTGCCATAAATCCCAGACGAGTATTATCTTGTAACTTCCGAATTGCCTTCAGTAAACCCTTCCAAGTCTCGTCAGGGCATTCGTCCACAGCATCAACCACAAGAAATGCTCGATTCTGAGTCCTGATAATGTGAATGAGTGTGTCCAATAAGCTATCAGGAGTCGGCTTTATATGCTTCTTTGTATGAGACTCATAAAGAAGGCTGACTGACTCTGGGATGAGGTCACATTGTTCAACAACGTGTCTCAGAAGGGTAGATAAGAGGTTTTCTGTTGTTTGTTCTTGTCTCTTTCCGTAGCTGCAATATAGGAAAGTGATACATGACTGGCCATCTCCTTGCTCTTGCAAATGCTTTATTACCATCGAAGCTAGTATAGTTTTGCCAGCACCAGGGATACCGGGGCAAAAAAGAGTCGATACATCCCCGTTCATCAAGCTGAGGAACTCTTGAGACTCTAGAAACCATTTTACAGTACCTGGCTGGTGCTTTTTATAAGCATCCAGATGTTGTGATTCATGGGACGAAGGAGCCAGCCAATCCAAGATCTTTTTATGCTCCTTATTCACCTGTTCTGCGAAAATGTTAGAACCAAAAGACCATTTCAACTGGTGGGTTTTATACCATTCAGTAGAGGGCCAAGGCTTTTGTTCATTTTAGCATGTATCGTAGCAAATTCATTACGCACTATGGATATGGTCTCTCATCAGCTTCCTCTATTGTAGACGAGAGATCTAGGATATCGACTAACCAATATCTACTATATCCACTGCTGGCCCCATTTTTGTCACCTCGGTAGGGGGGATGACCTCAAGAAGCTCCTTGGTATATGCAGCTGCTGTTGCAGCAGCATACCTTTGCCAGAGCTTGTGTTTGTGAGTATCTGAATAATCGGAAATTCCACGAATAACAAGGCAAGGAAAATCATTCATCAACCCTGCTGCCTCCGTCTCAAAGCATAGTATATTATACTGTTGCTGAAGTTTATCTCTTGTGGTTGCATGCCTCATAACAACATCATCAGATGCAATAGTGCCATAATGAATGATAGGATCATTGGTCTCCCGGGGCTGTCGATGAACTATACGTGATTTGTTGCAACATGGGCAAGGCCGTTTAGGATCATTGATGGTACTTAGTGCGCTCTGCCATCCTGTGCGGAAGTCCATAATAAGTGCTATCGCAGCGATGCCGCACACCACGGAGCATGTTGCAAGAGTACTAGTCCAAGGCAGCTGTTGCACGATGGTTGTACTTGCAATGATGATTATAACACAACCCAGCAGTCCCATAGCGGGGAATAAAGTATGTTTTATCGCGTTTGTTTGTTGTGCAAATTCCACGTGCTCGTAGGATGCTTCGAATAACTGGTCGTTCTCTAAGCCCTGATGACAAAACATATATCTGAACTGCGGATTCGCATCATCGGACTCTGATGCCATCTCAATCATTTGCGACACGTATCGGGAAATCGCATTACGATATTGTTCATGCTTAGAGCGTAATTTTGACACCCCGTTTCTTAGCTGGGTAGGCGGCATATTGAGCATACCGGTGCGCTCAAACTTGCCGCCAGCTACCACTTTTCCATGGTTATATTTCACCACCCCACCTGCGAACTCTGTCAGACGTCATTGAATTTTGAGACACATTGATTCTATCTCACCGAGGGTTTTGTCTGGAGTGCTCACAACGACATCGCCGAGTCGAATGTCCTCACTGGGAGGTTTGTTGGCACATGGAGCTCCTCCACCAATACCTACCATCAGTCCAAACCGAATCCTTGGGAAGGTTCGAAGCATATCTGCCGCTTGCTTGGATGCAGGTATTATTCCGGTAGTACCAGCTGGAAGACAAGCGATAACGATATTATGTTCTTTAATCCGACCGAGGGTGTAGATATTCTCGTCGCCCTCAGCCTGATCAAGGTCTGGGTACACTTCATCTAGCATTCCCCTTGATGCAGTCAACTCGATATAAAGTGCACATAGCCATCCAACCGTAAAATCATTGTGCGAGAGAGTCTTCTTTAGACCGGTGGGAGTTTTTGTCCCGCAAGGTGAGAGGATAAGGCTGTGCACCTCTTTGACTCGGGGGTCATTATGCTGGATCTTTCATCATACAGATGAAATGATGCCTCTGCTTTATTTGGGTAGAATTATGTCTCCGACGTGCTTGCGGTGTGGTGCTGCTATCTGGTTATGAATAAGTCTCGAGTTGCAACAAGGCAGAAGAGGAGGGTTGGTTAGGGGATTGAAGATGACGCAGCTAGCAGGACAAATGATTTGAAAAGCCTCAGCCTGATCCTAGCAAGCTGATTACTTATCTATCGTGACTTTCACTCACAGCCTCGAAGCTTGGACCCACATCTTTGATCCACCATTACTGGCTGGAAACACATACTAGTAGTGGTTTTGTCACCAGCCTCGTGCCCTTGATTGGGTATGAAGCGTGCTAGGGTATATTAATACAGTTACATGTGTTTTCACACTGCATTATCATACCTGTTGACCGCCAGCTGCCATAGCCTCCACCTCTATCGAGTCCTGAATCGACTTTTGTCGAACGGGTCGTTTCCACTTCTCCCCATCTTGACGGAACGGGCCGGTTGCCCGAGATATTGATGTCCTTGGGAGATCACTCCATAGGCTGAGCGTGTCAGATCTCGCTGTTAACCCTTCCTCGTAGGCCTCCAGAGGAAGAAAGCAAATTTAAGGATGAATCAAGAGGATAAATCAATAAAATTAGGAAGCCGCTACCAACACCACAATAACACAACCATTTTCTGCCACCGCCTGATCCACTGGCTGCGCAACAGTCAAGAGCGAGTATTATCTCGATTTACTGACGTTGGAACCTATATTCTTACGGGACAGTTCTCTAAACCAAGGTCAATAATTGCAATTCGGCTTGTCTTACCATGGCTGGAGGAATAATCACAGTTTGGGCAATCTCTTGTCTCTCAACAAGATCCTGCACAACGGCTGTGATTTAGTATATCCCTGCTCTCCAGCACCGCCAACACAAGTTTTCAAGTATTGTCTATAGGGTTAAGAAAAATAGGTAAGTCAGCTTAGCACGTGTAGCCAGCCAGTTTCTGGGTTATGGAGTGAAATTCCTGGAGCGGTGTAATACTGGCCAGTTTAATAGCAGCATTTGGGCACTGCTAACCTGTAGAAAGATGCTTGAATTTGAATACAACGAGGCTACATTCGATGTTGTAAAATGCGTCTAACGAATTGTCTTCAAGCGCTTGATTCATATATCAAGCCCGTATTGATTCCACTGCTATATACGAACCGTAGAGTACGATGTTGTTTTACCTCCCAATCGAGTTGCGCTTGGAGGTATACGGACTCGTATAGCTTTCTAGCCGAGCCACGGTGTTGAAGAATTGGGTTCGTTCGATACATTTGCGGAGAAAGTCACGAGTGATAATACTTAGAAAATCATCTTTATTATTGATGAAAAGCTGGATTATCTGTAGGAAGGGACCGAGGAGTCTGTAGTATCACAATCTTAAAGGCAGCGGATGTGCCTGACACAGATTGGGAGTGCGATAGGTCTGAGACATCGAATCGAACCGTCTTTGCATTCCATCCTTCTTCCTCCCCATATCTCTTTATTCTGATAGTGTGACCTCGTGGGTGGTAATGGCTAACTGTGTGGCTTGGAAGGATAACAGCAAAGTTGCAATGCTAACTCCGAATAACCCTTGTGGCCTCGCGGGCTTTGATCATATATCGGCACTTGGATCGCAGCCAAGGGCCATGGCGCTGGAGCAAGAACGGAATGGGAATGCACCCCAGCGCTAGAAACGCTGGCACTGACGACGCCCACCGGATGCCAAGTGTCTCATACATCCTGGGGGTAAATAAAGGGAAGACAGCCCCCAGGACAGATCGGAAGACGGAGCTGGCTGCCAGACTGGACGCGGCAAAGATCGAATACGAGTCCACCAGATAGTGGCTCATACTAATGAAGATACAGACCAAGCCGAACCCGAAGAGCGCCGTGCCAATACAACCGGCGATGAAATGGACGGATGGAAAGTTGGTCCACGCGAATGTTAAAAGTCCGAGTGGAATAGCGATTGCACCAACCATTGCTGGATGCAATCTTTTCTCAGCTGTAGTGGTGTTCTCTACGCTATGAGAGATTGCCCGTGCGCGCCGGTGGTCATGGAGGAAGGAATACGCGACGCCAAAGACCATGCCAACCAGAACGGCTAGGAAGGGAAGGGTCGCAATACCGGCTGTCCATCCACGCATCCCATGATACACAAGGGGAAATGCTGCGAAGAGGAGGTATAAGATACCATACACGATGGCGAGATAGATTGAAATGAGAAGAACAACCGGTTCGAATGTCAAGAGCAACCAGGGCCTGACCAGGGCTGTTTTCACAAGCACGGCGTGGGGAGACTGCGTCTCCTCTAGCTTGCTGCGGTACTCTTTCCCCGTGCGTGCAGAGAAAATTCGCGCTCGTCGCCGGAGAAGAACGGGGGAATAGGTCTCCGGGATGATGAGACTGCCGGCGATCCAAAGTACACCGGACATGATCGCGATGAAACCCTGGATCCATCTCCATCCCTTTGTCATACCAATGAAACTTCCGATAATCGGGCCGAGGGTAGGGCCAAAGAACAGACTTGCTGTAAAGATGCTCATGGGAGTATTTCTCTCCTCCGGTGAGAAAAGATCCGCAATGACCCCACCGGTGTTCACCAACGAGGAGGATCCAAATGCTCCTGCAAAGAATCGACACAAGAGGAGGGTCGGTATATTGTGCGAGCACGCAGCTCCAACATTGAAAGCCGTGAATGCGGCGAATGTTCCAACAAAGACAGCTTGTCGGCCCAGAATCTCGCTGAGGGATGCCCAAAGGAGAGGGCCCACAGCGAAACACATGACAAATAGGGTCACCCCAAGGTAGGCTGTGGTGGATGAAATGCCATACTCCTGGACCAGCTGCGGCACGGCGCCGGTATAGGCCGACGATGCCAAAGCTACCGACAGAGTGGAGAGAGTGAGTATTATCGTAAAGACCCACTTTCGTGCCCTTGAGAAGTAATGAGGGTCGGCAGGGTCATTCGAGGCCCATTGTACCAGGAATGGGTCAGCACCAGTGCCTGTACCTTCGTAGGTCTGCGAGAGGAGATCTTGCATGACATGTCCTTGATCAATCATGGGATGGCAAAGGGATACCCCACGGACAATGGGATCCTGCTGTCGTCCACAACCATTTCTCATAGGCGAATCTGCCATCATGCATCGCATATATGTTTATGGTAGGAATGATCAAGAAGCTTGTTTCACTTCCACGACTTCGTGCTGGAAGTATCCAGCGATATACGCCAGCCTTCATCATCACAGTGGATAGGAGAAAACCGTGAATGCTACCTTACGGCCATTTCAACAGACAGTGGCCGAACGGAGTCGATCAAACCGGGTGGGTTGACGGGTTGATCAAGGCAGGTCAGTCAAGTCACGTAATGCCAAGACACTGGCGCAGCTGATGGGCGATTTTTATACCCAGATCAGACTGAGAGATGATCAGATAAGATCATGTCTATATTCAATGTAACCCTAGAGATCCAGAATAGCAGACGCTACAGTTAGTCGAATGCGATGACGTCCCCTTTCGGAAGCTGAGACGATGGCCAGCCATCATGATCGAGCATCGGAAGCATATCTCCCCTTGTCATGCGACTCTTGATGTAATCATAACAAGAGATCAATGTGTTTTGTTCGTAGCGGAAATTGCATATAAAGTTAGGGAGAGCGAAGGGGAAACCCGAAACCAGATCGTGGAATCATCCGGGGCAGAAGCAGCAATCGACACAACTATATTCTTATTCACCATGGGATCTTTCATTACAAGCGACCAATCCAACCAAGGAAACCCCAAAGATGGAATCCCTTGGTACCTTGATACCCTTGAACGTGTCCCTCCATTGGCGCAGCGTGTCTTAGAGGAGTACGCTGGACTGAAGCCGGAAGAGGTCAAAGAACACGTTCTGAAGATTGTATGATCCCCCGAGATCCCGAGAGAGCTGTTTCACTGACTGGCTGTTAAAAGCGCGAGAAAGCCTGGACGTCGTCGCCGTATCCATGCGTTGGACTCTTTCGATTCCTCGACTTCTCTCTTCCTGATTCACCACTATATAGCGAAGTGCTTGACCGAGTCAAACGTGGAGAGAAGCTGTTAGACTTCGGCTGCTGTTTTGGCCATGACATTCGAGCTTTGATCACGGATGGGGCGCCCGCTGAGAACCTCTATGCTGCGGAGCTCAATGCAACCTTTTTGGATCTTGGGTTTGAGCTATTCCGTGACCGGGACACTATCAAGTCTACGTTCTACACGGCGAATATTTTCGATGAGAACGACAAGCTCCGTGACGAGAGATTGGATAGCTTCGACATAATCCACACTGGCTCCTTTCTGCATCTTTTCTCCTGGGACGGCCAGAAGAAAGCGGCCCTTGCCCTCCTGAAGCTTCTTAAAAGGCAGAAGGGATCTCTGATCGTCGGACGTCAACACGGCAGCACAACGGCCAAGGAGGTGCAGAACTATCTCTACAAGCCGACCAAGGAGAACGAGGCCAATGGACGGCTCGCCACCTTCTTTAACCATGATGCAGAGAGTTTCCAACGGCTTTGGGACGAGGTTGGGGAGGCGGCGGGATTGACATTTGAGGTGAGAACTGAATGGGGCACTTGGGGCTCTGCGAATGGGATGGATCCGGCGTACTATAATCTTTGGTCGTGGGAGGACAAGGAGACGCTGCGGTTCAAGTTTTGGGTTCGAGTGATCTAGAGTGCCTTGACCGGGGGTCATCATGGCGCAGGAGAGCAGACGGGGTGAGAGAAATACTGGCAGAAGAAACGGTAGGTAGAATGGTATGAACACTCGGGTTCAATAGCAATGGATGATCTTTCACAAGGCGACCACAGCCGCCATGCGCTGCAGCCCTAGAATCCTAGATCAATGGGAATGTCTCAGTTCGACACTAAACTTTTAGCTTTGCGGGCATTCTAGAACCTGAGAGACCGGCCGTTCCCAAGGCGCGACCCCAAGCCACGATGCTAAAAGAAGAAATAGCTCGTATCAATAACGTGATACCAGGCATGTTGCATCATCCACATATCAGCTCGTAGACTCAATACAGATTTATTCTATTAAGCCAGCCGAATCAAAATATGTGTGTTGCGAAGGCGGAGGTTTGCTCATGTCTCCTGAGGTCTGCATCACTGCGTATATCAGACAATATAGCCCGCCTTCCCTAGTGTACTCGCTTCGCTTCTCCGGCATTTGACACGGAAACCAACCATACGGCTTTGGAGAATCATACAATTCCTTTGTCGGAGTCACCCTAAGATGTCGTCGTATAGCACTAATAAGAAGACGCGCAGGAACCCTTTCACGTTAATACCCCCAGACATGGACATGAACCCATTTCGTCTCGTCTGGGAGGACCTGGGATCTGTTTTGAGCCGTGGTAAATTGTTGTTCTACATTGTGATCCCTCACAGGCCCTCCCGTTCAGGGACACTGGATGAGCTATATCCAGATTATGCCAATATCCGTGACCTAGCCCTCCACGTCGTCCTACTTGTGTTTCAAGCTATTGTCTTCCTCACTTTCGTTGTTTTCTTCTTCACATTCTGGGTATTTCCGGCTGTCCTTCCTGCCGCTGTTCTTCTTCTTGCCTGGGTGGTGACTGCGGCAATTCTCCGAATGCTCAATGGTCCACCAAGCTCGCAATGTTTGGTGGGTATCCCCGAGAACGATGTCTCCCCGGTCAACGATGCGAGTGAGCTGTGGTTTTTCATTAATGGAATCTGCACGGGGTAGGTACCACCTGGTCTGTAATAGTTATCGGAAAGTGAATGACTAAACCTTCTAGACGAACTTGGCATCAATCAAATCTCACTCTCCTAGCAAATATCTTCCGCAGGGAGATAGTTGGCATCCATAATCCAACGTTTGTTCCACTCAGCCTTTTCCGTTCCGGTGCTTGCCTTGTATTGCTTGTGTGCGTCGCTCTAGTAGGTATGACCAGCTAATCGCGTGGGTCCCTAGCAAAGGTCTAGTTCTAGATTTAGTTGAATGCCTCATCCAACGCGACCTGGATTATAAGACACAGGACATTCGCCAAGGACGAGCTCAGCTCCGTGCTGCGCTGCAGGCTCCGCAGACGAAAAAGGTGGTCCTGATAGCCCACTCTCAAGGGGGCATTGTGGCTGCGTCCATAATCGACTGGCTATATGGAGAGCTCACGAGTGAAGAGATGGGCAAGCTAGAAATTTACACTTTTGGCAATGCAGCAAGGCATTTTCGAAACCCAGCAGTCGGTGAAGCCCAGACGGAGGTGGTAAAGTACATTGAGCACTATGCGAACAGCGAGGATTTTGTTGCCAACATTGGAGTCCTACAGTTCACATCAGAGGCAGCAAGGTATTCCAGCAGTGATTTGTTCGCGGGACATGTGTTTAAAAGGGATGGCACTGGCCATCTATTGAACATGCATTATCTGGATGCTATGTTCAGTGATCAGGAGCGGTTCATGGATACCGAGGTCGTTGTCCACGGGCAGTAAGTGTCCAGGTTTGTCATGGCATAGGCTTGCAGTACTGACAGCAGTCGCTAGCGATCTCTCGGATCAGACCCTTTTAAAGCCTATTAAGGAACTCTCAAGGCTTATTCAATACAAAGATGGGAAGTCCCCTTGTGTGGTTTAAGAAGAGCAAGGATATGACAAGCACACCATTGCCAAAGGGCGACTAACAGCTGCAGAAACATGCATTAGCTAAATATATATCCACAGGATATATACAGTGTAAACCAACTTTGTAATATATCATATATCACTCCTTGTTCTTCTACCGCCGATCTGTGAACATGGTGTGATATTATCTGCAGCTCAATCATAATGTGACAAGTGTACAGTGGAGTGGGCATTGAATCGGCTCTACCCCGCCCGTAGCGTAGCCAATTCCCCTACTCATCATTCTGTTCTCATGAATATCATGGAATTCAATGCTATTAAAAAAAAATCGTATATTGTGAATGAAGAAAGATACCCGGACGGTAATTGTTGGTAACTTTGGCTCGTCTCGAAGGACCCTCTCGAAAGTGGATTATTATTATTGCCTATCTACTCGTCACTGAGCTGTGGATTATCATCTGTGCATCTACTCTCGATGGTGCACAAAATACTACCATGCGTCTTATCAACGTGCAGAGCTACAGACTAGAAGCCTTCAATGAGCAAGTGCCTCGATACGCTATACTGTCACATACTTGGGGAAATGATCAGGACGAAGTATCATTTCACGATCTTACTGGGGGGAATGCCGAGTGTGCCAGTGCTAAGCCTTGGCCGATCAAATTCGAGGGGTGCTGCAAACAGGCAGCGAAGGATGGCCTTGATTATGTATGGATCGACACCTGCTGCATTGATAAAACCAATTCAGTGGAACTTGGTGAAGCCATCAACTCCATGTTTCGGTGGTATAAGAAGGCGACAATCTGTTATGCCTATCTTGCCGATGTCACTGTTGGAACTGCTGAGATCAATCACCCGCATGTGGAGTCTGAATTCTCCACTAGTCGTTGGTTTTATAGAGGCTGGACACTACAAGAACTCCTGGCACCTAAGAATCTCGTGTTCTACAATTATAGGTGGACTAGTCTTGGTAGTAAAAGAGACCTAAAGATGTTGCGACTAATCGAGAAGGCAACTGGCATTCCCCGTTTCTTTCTACGAGGGACAAAGGAATTGATAGATGCGAGTATCGCACAACGCATGTCCTGGGCTTCGAGAAGGGAAACAAAGAGAAGGGAAGATATTGCCTACTGTCTTCTTGGGATTTTCGATATTATGATGCCAATGATCTACGGCGAGGGTGATCGCGCATTCATCCGCCTACAAGAAGAACTTATTAAAAAAACCAGAGATGACTCGATTTTTGCATGGGGCCTGGGATCGACGGAACCTGCGTCCGCTGATTCTAACGATATAATCTCTGCGGGCGTATTTGCAACCTCTCCAGCCGATTTTATTAACAGCGGCCATATTCTATCGGGAAAGCGCGGGATCAAGTCTACGGCAATATTAGTGGTTGATGGCGGATGTGTTCGATCAAACCTCCCGCTTTATACAGACTCCGTTGGCCAGCTATTTGGACTGCTTAATTGTGGCCCTGGGTTAAATGGAAGTAATAGGGTGGTGGTGGGAATTCCACTCAGCTATAGCCTATCTGGCGAATACATTCGACCGGAAGGGCGTTGTTCACAATTACTTTCGGTTCCTAACGCTGCCACCTCCGCTCGACAAATTTATATCAAGACGGAGCGCCAACAAAAAACAACTATATTATCCGGTTCTAGCACTTTTTTTGAGATCGAGGATCCTAGTGAAGCTGGTTTAAAGCTGATCGAAGTAGAGCCACAAGAGTGCTGGTCAGAAGAAGAGTCTATTATTGCTATAAGCAGCAATCTTTCCCGAGATACTGTACAGCAATGTTGGATACGATTCCGTCCAGAAGATGAAGGATCCACTGACTTCCTTGTACTACTGGAGCCAGAGATACCGGGATCACCTGTGAAGGCTCAATGTCATATCATGACATCCTCTCAAACTACTCTGCTGAAGGATTTAATTCAGTACTCGAGCAATATAAGACCAACGGCTTTTGGTAAGAATATTGCTAGAGATAACTCGCGGAGTATCCAGGTCACCTTGGATCAAGACACTACAGCCGGGCAAATGATATTTATTCTTAAACTGGCTAAAACAACTACCTTGCCCAGTGTTACTGTGGATGCAACGTTGGAGTTGGGACTCCAGGCGGCAAAGTTTGAGCGTGATAAGGCAGCAAAAGCACAGGATAAGCTTTCCCTAGGAATAGGAGACCCGAATTGGCAAAGAGGAACAGCATATACGCTGGAATCCGTTGAAAAAAGTGTAGCTGGGTGGATTCGAAAATGGCCGGTTAAATTGTTCAAGCAGGGCAATATTTCAGATGGGGCGCCGCCCCAGCGCAGATTAGCACCAAAAGTTGGCATCGGCGCCTTCGTCCTCAACGAAGAGGGCAAATGCCTTTTAGGCAAGAGAAAGTGCAACCCTGGCGCAGGTGAGCCACATTTATACAATACTTCAACTCCGCAGTCATACAACGCACTATCCCCATAGTGCTAGCCTAAGATACAATGCTAACCTTTAATCAGGTACATGGGCTCTACCCGGTGGCCATCTCCAATTCGGCGAAAGTTTCGAGAACTGCGCTGAGCGGGAGGTCCTTGAAAAGACAGGCCTGTCCTTCCGCAATGTGCAATTTCTAACAGCTACCAATAACATCATGGAGTGCGAGGGCATTCATTACATGACAGTTTTTGTGAGCGGGAGTATATGTGGAGAGCCTATAGAGCCTCAGGTGAGTGCCCTCCTCATTCATTTATGTAGGTGGGTTGATGTATGGCTGATACGATTACCTGGCAGTTGATGGAGCCGGAGAAGTGTGACGCCTGGGAATGGGTGGCTTGGGAGGAGATTGTCGCGTTGGCTAATGATGCCATGGCTGGAGAGGATAATGGAAAAGAGAAGCTGTTCTCATCATTGGTGAATCTGGTGGAGCAGCGACCTGGTTTTAGCCCTTGTACGGCTCATAGCGGCCTCGCAACAACTGGTCTTATCGATTTCCGCCGGCAGACATGATAATTATAGACTTATTTAATTTGACTATAAAAGTAGATATTTTAATGCAGGACACTTGGAAATTCATATTAATAAAGCTATATTTATTACTCCAGTAGATATGGTATCTGTCATAGAAGGTCAGTGTGTATATATTTTACTAAGATACTCTGGATATAACATGTTAGAATATAAAATTACTCAACATTTGAATTATCAGACTATTGTCGATTTTCTATAGAAATATAGATTTTTCGGTATTTTGAATAGATTTAAAATATAAGATATGTGGAATTCATGAGGGGTGGTGATGTTATTTTGGTTTGTCTGGGAGAAATCGCAACCGCCCTATAGTCAGTCTCACAGGTTTGAACCCCTTTCTCGAGGCTTCCTATATATGTCCAAGGATAATCATTAGACCGAAGATACCAAAATCTAAGAAGTCCTGGTATCTATAGAAAGGATTTTGGGGGCCAAGACAGTAGGAGGAGGGTAGTTATAAGACTTACAAAAACTTATAAGGGTTCACAGGCCAACAGTAAACAATATTAGTCTTTTGGAATGAGACTGCAAGAATCACGACAACGCAGTTTTTCTGACTGGTAGAAAACTAATTATCGCCTTACATACAATTGATCTTGCTACCAGTTATGTAGCTATGGTTCATAAAAACTACAATGTGACACACTGTAGAGTGCTAAAATCACGAGTATGTGATTTCCATCACTTGAGACAAAAAACTACTAAGAATAGAGAGACCAAAAGAAATATCTCTATCTGGCTTGACTCGTGCGTGAAGTCCATTGACTGTGTATTCTCCCCGCCGAGAAGAACCTGTGAGCCCTAGCTACCTGCCATGGGTCATTTAGACAGCCATAACTAATGCTGGAGCCAACGTCCGTCTTGGTTCTCATAGTAGACTTCATGGCCTTTACTAATATATCACATCTCTGGAGGGCAAATATGACAAGATGTCACCCCTTCTACCCCGACCGCTAGTGTTATTCCACTACACTCGCTCGCAACCAACCTTGTCCATCCCTTCGTCGACCAAGCATCATGCCCTAAGTCACGAGTCTCCCATAATGAGATTCATCTCCTGTCCAATATTTTCCAAAAGCGTCTGGGCCTCAAGTGTCGTCATTGAGTCTACTGCGTAGTCAACCTTCCAATGCAGCTCACCATCTGTTTCGTTGTAGTTGACCTCCAAGTATATATTTTTCTCACAAGGGAGCCAATCACACCGGAACTTGTCAACAGATGTTGCACCGGCCAGCGGCTGTTCAACACTTAAGTAATTCTCAAAACCAATGGGTGACGGGGTGAAAAGAGGATCAGTCGCATCGCGGGTTGAATTGTCCGTGGATTTACTGAAGACTATGTTGAGAAGGACATTGAATTCTAGGTCGTTGCCAAGTTCCTTCATTCTCTGGCGGAGCTGTCGGAGATTGGTCTGATCATGGATAGCACGTTGGCCTAGATCATGCTGTATAGCCTCGAGGGCCCCGACCATAGGGCGGGTAAGGGCATCTGGGATCACAAACGGTAACATATTCACAGTCGGGCCTGCTACACGGTGTATCTCCGGATATTCACTTGAACGCCCGGATTGAAAGAGACCAAACGTAGGATGAGTCACGTCTGCGGTGCGTGCCAAGCTACGACCGACGGCTAGTAAGACAAGACAGGCCACGGAAACGCCAAGCTGGTGACACCGAGCTTCGACAATCTTAAGCTCCTGAGGGTAAATGAGCTGAGATGAGAGGAGTTGTGAGGGGTTCGCGGCGCTGGGGGTGTTTCTTCCCAACACTGTACGCTGGCCAGCCCCGAGTGCCGGCTTCCAGTAAGCATCGGCAAGTGTAGAACCGGCTGTCTGCTGGGCATGATGCACAAAAGCGGGGAAGCTACTATGGGGTGGGAGGGAGTTGCTCAGGTACAAGGCCTCTAGGTCTCCGATCAACATCGGGATCGTCCAGGCGTCGTACAACGCGTGATGTATTGTGAGCAGAAGAGCGTCTGAGTCTTTGTGCTGTACCAGGCAAAGGCGAACCGGAGGCATGAAGAGATCAGACGGACTGCACGCAATATCGCGAGTGAGGCCTTGGATTGTCGATTGGAGATCTCCCGTCGATGGCTGACTCTCCACGCGAAGCCCTCGATTTACCTTGGACGGCTTGCATACCACCTGCACTATTTCTTCTGCAGAAACGGCGGCGAATGATGTTCGAAGAATGCTATGTCGACGCTGGAGAAATAACCAGGCGTGGTCTAATTGCCCCGGGTCCAGTCGGACGCGGCTGGTAAATGCAAATGTGAATTCCCACAGTCGTCGACCACTATCGAGCCAAGAAGATATATAGAACATCTGGCCGCTGAGACAGGGCAAGACGACCTCAACTTCATCTTCCCCTAAAGACAAGGCAGTTAATGCTTGTTGCTTTGCGTCTGCACTGATGGTAGATCTGCCATCAGTGATAGTCTCCGGCAGGACAGAGGGTGTTTTTATCTTGTTGGCGGCAATCATCGCAATTCCTTGGACCGTTCTTCCCTGAAGGATGTCACTGACGGAGAGTTTCAGTCCAGCCCCTCGGCTCTTAGCACTGATATCGATTGCTAAGATAGAGTCCACGCCCAGCGCAAAAATGCTGCTGTCCTCGTGGATCTGATCAATCGGTGTTTGTGTAACCGTTCCGATGATTCGTTTGATGATTCTAGCATGGTTCTCCAGACCTCGAATATCCGTAGGCCGCTTGCCTACATCCTGAATAGAACCAGTAGCCAGAGGTAGAGCCCTGAGCTCAGGAGGAAAGCTCAGCACAGGGGCATCTGGATGGGAAATGATCTTCTCCAAACCAAGAGCTAAAGTCTGTAACCAGGCATCCAGCTCATCGCCATTTGATAGGAGATCGCGGGACGACGCCCGTACCACAAGAAAGTCTGGCCTTTGCTCAAATTCCACATTTAATCGATAATGAGGAGTGTCCGGTGCACGCTCAGCAAGGTATGGCTGAAAAACAGACGCAGTGTCTTGATTCCCTGATTTATTGAAGGTAAAGAGGGTCTCAAACAGCGAGGAAGCCTCACTGTGGCTATCCAGACGCCAGCCCTTCTGGATTAGACTCAGTGGCGCATGCTGATGACTCTGGGCGTCGGCAGAAAAGCGCTGGATGTGACGCAGGACTGAACGGGTACTCTGAAGAATTGGATCGAGTACCAGGCGAAACGGCACTGTGTTGAAAAGTGGACCAATTATCGATCCTGTACCATCGATACCTTGTCCTCGTCCAGAAACTACATGACCGAATATCACATCCCGCTGGCCCATCAGTGTCGCCAAGGACCGACCAAACGCGAGTAGAGCGACAGTCTGCAAGGTAACCTCAAGACAGCGGCATTGATGCTGCAAAGTAGTGACTGGAATCCGCACAGTAGCCTCAGCCGATTGGACACAGGGCTCTATTGCAGCAGTTGGTGGGAGTGGCACTTTGCAATACCGGTAGCCTTTGACAGTATCGGCCCAGAATTTCACAGATGACTCCTCGGTGCTTGTGACTTTGCGTGCTGCAGAGGCAAATGAGTCAACGTGGTTTGACAGGCCTCTATACGCATTATCTACACAGTCAAAAAGCAGTGGCAGAGAAAAGCCATCGTAGAGGCAGTGATGCATAGTCACCACCATCAGCCGTTGGGAGATCCCAGTCAGGATCGTGACTTGCCACGGAGGCCTTTGAAAGCTTTTGATGTCGGGGTACGCTACACGCTGGGAGATTTCTTCAATCGCTTCAGATAGTGATTCGACGGCAGGTTGATGGAACCATTGTACAAGAGAGTGTTGATGAACTGCAGCCTGGAAATCATGACTGGCTTCCTTCCTGTGGAATGTCGTTCGGAGAATATCTGCGAGTCCCACAACCTCTTGCCACGCACTAGCCAACTGTTCAAGATCGACTGAGCCGTCTAAGATGACTGCATGGTGGTGAACATATGCCTTGCCCTCAGAGCTCAGACATTGGCCAATCATTGCGGTCTGCAAAGGCGTGCAGCGGTATGTTTCGACAATCGAGTCGTCTTCATGGAACAAGTCAATGCATATACTGGGATCCGATATGTTCTCCTTCACTGGTGATATGGATGGCACCGCATTAGACTTTTGCAGATAATTATGAAGAGCACCAATCGAGGGATACCGCATAATATCACTAGAAGACGCTTTGAGGCCTTGTTCCTGCAAGCGACGAGCCATACGGATTGTAATAACTGAGTCAACTCCCAAAGCAAGGAAAGAAATATTCTTTGAAATCTGGGATTCAGGAAGGCCGGTAATCTCAGACACGACTTCGCGGAGTTTTGTTTCCCATTCAGTCCAGCGGCTTTCATCCCATTTTGGCTCCTGTCGTTCCTGTGTCTGAGACCTTCCTTCGTTTTCAATGACAACATCTCCATTTGAGATCAACCCTTGGAGAATGATGCACATGACGTCGATCAGCCCTCGAGCGCTATCTTTGAGACAAGAGCCACGGGTGACTCTCAACCGCAAAGTCACTTTGTCTGACTCCGATTCCGCTTTGATTTCTAATGCAAGGGGGTAGTCGGCCGGCATAACGCTATCCATTTCCACCAACATCGCAGTTGCGGGTGATGTTGGGGCAGTTGCTATATAGGAGAACATGGAGTTGAACAATGGGCCAGGGGCTTGCGCGTACCGCTGAATGTCGCGGAGTGCCGTATGCTGATAAGGTAGAGATGCGAGGCTAGCCTGAGTATGGGCCTTGATCAGGTCAACTAGGCTTGACGATCCAGAGGGAAGCCGAAGTCGACTCGGGACAGTAGTTACAAGGGGAATCAGCATTTCTTCGACTGACTCGACCGGTATGCTTCGGCCGTTCATGATCCGACCAAATATCACGTCCGTCTCAACCAAATACCTTGCCAATGATATTCCCCACAGAGTCTCCAAGATAATTGGGGTGGTGGTGGATATTTTGGAAGCAACTTTAGAGATCATGGACAGCTTGAAAGGTAATTCCTCTGTAATTATCTCGTAAGAAGCGTTGGAGGGGCTGTCAGCCTCCACGATACTGGGACGAGCGCCAGTGAGATAGCTAGACCAGAATCGTTCGGCTGCTTCTTGGGGAGGTGTGACGAAATGCCTATAAAGAGGGGTGAGGTCTCTGGTGTGCATGGCTGTCTTCCCAGTGTAATGATGGTGTAGCCGGTCAAGCAAGACACCCATACTGGCACCGTCGAATATGGAATGGTGAATGGACAGCATCAACCACCCCGGGAGGGCATTGTTGCTTGACGAAGCAGCTACAATATGGAGCGGGGCTTCGCTCTCGATATTGCGAACGATCTTGATTGCGACTTCGGTTTGGCGATTGCGGAAATAGACTTGGGCCGCTTCTTCGTCCGCAACAGCAACCTGTTCCCAAGATATCTTTGCCACCCGAGGCTTCAGGACCACTTGAACGACCTTGTCGTCCATGACACGAAAGCATGTGCGCAATATTTCGTTTTCATGTATCAGATCCTCAAATGCTAACCTCAAGTCCCCTAGCACAATGTCGGAACCTATGCGACACATGATATGATTGACATACAGAGGGGTCAGGCTTCCCATGGAACTGGATACAAGACTCTCCTGAAGGGGCAAACATGGCCGGACGACAGCAATAGAGGAGTTTGGGATGTTATTTTGCAATTGTCGGAAGGACTGATCCAGGCACTCCAAGCGCCGCGAAGCTTCAGCTAGCTGGCTTGTCCACAAATACTTACTAGACTGCAGGCCGCCGTCTGCACGAGAAAGTGGCAAAGATGCTAGCTGTGCCAGCGTAGGGTTACCAAGGATATCCGCCGCTGCGCACTGGTAGCCTGCCTCTCGCATCTTCGCAGCGACACTGAGAGAACTGAGACTATCAATCCCTAATTGAAAAATACTGGTTGTCTTCATCACCGTGCTGCGGTCCACTGACACGACCGAGCAAAGGATGTCACGAATCTTCTCTTCGTCTGTCGTCAATGACGTAGAAACAGCATGTAAGTCTGGCTCGGGCGCCCTGGCTGCGGACATTCGCGTCTGCAGGTGGAGGTCCGACGCCGGTATTTTTTCATAAAGGGCCACCAGGCGGCGATTGTCAGCCTTCCCTGAAATCTGGATGGGTATGAAGCTGACGGGGAGCAAAACACTAGGCACCATATAGACGGGCAGTTCTTCACGGCAACGCTCTAGAATTCCCGGCACCCAGGCCTGATATTCAGCCTTTAAAAACGCTGGCTGCGTTTTGAGATCGTCCGGTCGGTCCCTCGACGGGCTTATGAAGGCCACCAACTGAGGACGTTTTGTGATCGGGGAAGGCGTCACCATCGAAGTAACATTGACTGGGCGATCCGCACACCGACGGACGGCGAGGGATACCTCCTCAAGTTCCAGACGCTGGCCACGGACTTTGGCTTGGCTATCTCGTCGGCCCAGGTACTCAATACAGTTATTGGCCATCAAACGTACTATATCCCCAGTACGATACATTCGTTGCCCCCGATAATCTGTAAAGCCTTGCGCATCGGGCCTGCAGTGGTATCCATTCGCGACCAAATCCCCTGTCACGCAGAGTTCTCCTGCCTGACCTCTCTTGACATACTTTGTTGTTTCCGGCTCAAAAACATGAATCGTGATGTTGCCCACGGCGGTCCCAATATTGCGCACTGTAGATGTTGCTGTGACCGTATGGCTAGACATCCCGATTGTGACTTCAGTAGGGCCGTATGCGTTCACCAGCGCAATACGCGGTTTGCCGACGAACCGTTCAATGATCGTTTCCGAGATCTTCTCCCCTCCAACTCCCAGATATCGTAAATCAGGTAACTGCTCAGCGCTCACCCCTGTGTGTTCGAGGAGGGAGGGCACGAACCCGGCATGGGTTATCCTCAATCGTCTGAGAACCTGTAGTAGATTATCCAGAATCATGGTCCGTGGCGCAGTGACCAGGCGAAGCCCATGGCGCCAGCCGAGTACCATCTCGCAGATGTGCACATCAAAGGCCCGACTAGCGTGCGCGAGATAGCCGCCCTTGCCCTGCAATTCCAGCGTGTCTGGAACATCCCGGCAGATATACTCCGACTGGGCTTCAGTGAAGGCGGATAGATTTCCCCGGCTGACGAGGACTCCTTTAGGCATGCCAGTAGATCCAGAGGTGTAGAGAAGGTAACAGTTATCCGTTGGGTTTGCAGTAGTTACCGTTAATTCCTCAGCAGTGTCCAGCTCTTCAAGGAACTGGTGGTCGTTGATGTCGATCACCCGGCAGTCGTCTGGAGGTATGAGACTTGTCGCAGTATCCTTTTCGGCAAATAGTGCAGTAGCACCACTGTCGCTTAGCAAAAACACCTGGCGGGCCTCAGGAAGATCTTCCGCGATGGGAACGTAGCAATTACCGCTTTTCCAGATGGCAAGTACCAGTGCGTACGCTATGAATGAGCGGCCTAGACAAACTGCGATGACTCGATTACACCATCCTTGGTGGGCGAGCCATGTGCAGAGCCGATCAGATGTCTCAGTAAGCTCGCGGTACGTCCATCTCTTGGATAGTACACTATCGTCGCTGATTGCTTCTATGACTTCCAAGGCAACCCAGGTAGGATTCGACGCCGCCCAGTGGTCGACCCAGTGAGACGGCGATAGGTGAGGGGCTTGTCGGAGCTCCTCACTCACCAATGGTGAGTGTGAGGAAAGGAGGTCTTCCGGGAGTGTCTGAGTGAGGTCCTGAAGCGATTCAGTGGGCCGAGCAAGTATCGCCGTCACCAAGGAGTCTATCTGGCGCAATACTAGCTCCAGGTGAGATACATCCATCAGATCCCGTCTAGCGGAAAGAGTGCAAGATGGTATCCCTTGCTGTGAATGTTCAAGGCATAACCCAATAGAGGCCATGGAAAATTCAGATCTTGTATCATCATCTTCGGCCTTTTCGCCGGGTCCCATCGCCTGATGGTACGTGAAGAAGGCATTGTACGGGACCGGCGATGAAGGGCAATTAAGAATTTCCAGAAGGCGGTCTGGGGATATCGTTTGCACTCTGGCTATCCTCGCGATAGAATTATCAATTTGACGGATCAAGTCTTCAGCGGTAGGCTGAGTAACAAAGATTGGGACAGGTACGGCTGTGTCGGGTTGTGTAGGCTCGACGTCCACCGAAACTCTCTCCCCTATCAGCACCTTATCGGATTCGAGATATTCGGCGAGGATATATGCAAACGCTGCACGAACCACTGAAGCTGTTGACTGCAGCTGGAGCCGTTGCGCTAGAGACTCCAGCTCTTCCCAAGTTGTGCCCATGGCAAGACTTTGCGACAGAATGGGAAGAGTCGCTGATGTGACCGTCACGCGTTCGCAAGAGAGAGTTGGAAATTGCCTCTCTGGGATGGTGACAAAGTCTTGTAGTTCCTTGCTCCAGAATTGTGTGCTGTCCCCTTCTCCTTCTATACATTCTAAGTATACCTCTAGCTGCCGAACAATGCTAGTTATATCTGCTCCGCACTGCAGATCTGCTGGATACTTGAACTCTGCCCACGACGATTCAAGATTGACATATAACGCAAATCGGACCTAGTAAGAAGTGGACGAATCATTAGCCAAGGAGCCTGACCCTGGAGGGATGTATGATTCCTACTTACAGAGCTCTCCGGATCAATGTCGATTTCTCCTGCACGCATGATCCAGAGCCCAAACTCCATGGTCCCTGACCTCTCGGTATAGTCCTCCAAGGTGGCCTCGAACGCCTCCCACTGCGGCATGGTATCGTCTGTTGCACATTTTGCTATGACTACACCACGTTTGGCAGTTGATCCTTCGTCGTCCACAGTTATCCAAAAGGCAATGTGATTTTGACCAGTCACCGCCATGATCGCGCGAGTGTAGTTCTGGATCAGGGAATCGATACCGCATTCATGGTGCAGGTGTTTTAACCGGCCGATGTCCAATCGTTTCACACTACGATCAGTAGTCAGGCCATGGACGCAGTCTGTCGGCGGCACTGGAAGTGTAGTAACTGGGAGTTGCATGTGTCGCCAATGTGGTGCTGGTTGCAGATCTGGCAGTGTCTTCATTTCTGGTGCCATCTTGTACTCGTGAAAAAGGGGGGGATTTCTGACTGTCACCAAGGACTGTGTACTGGCTTGCTGTTACAAGATATCAAAGATGAGGGCTACTAAGTCCCCTGCGTGATGCTCTCTACCACTCGACCCTCCGTCGCCATCCCTCACCACTACACAGTCTTACTTCCGAATTAGGCGCCGAAACTGGTGATCCCCACCTATTGCATATCGTCACCCCCTCGTTCCTGCGGCCATTGGTAAGAGGAGCCACCGCGGGCAAGAGACCAAATGAAGAACGAACAGTATCTGCCGCTTTCGGTTGGTAGAGGGTGTGTTCTTCATACTCTGGGGGCGAATGATGCTGGAATTTGGACCCTGATGGCTGGGCGTATTGATGGTAATTTTCAAAATCCCGGGAAAGATAGAAACTTACACGTTAAACAGGGTCTGTAACGCAGTAGGAATATGGATTCTGTCCGAGACATGGAATCTTGGCAGCCCCGAGCACTTGCGATATTTTCCGGTAGCGCCGTCAACTCAGCCTAATGCCACCTCCAGTCAGTCCCATCGAGCGGAGCATCCAATTCGGCTTGTGCTTGCCATTTCGTCGAACCGTCTTGACGCAACTCACTACACATTCTACGTAGTCCACTGTTCTCAACCACCCCAATGGCAAAGCCACCAAACGGCTATATACCTAAGTAGGTCTAAACGCCACTCTCTTGGATGACCCTGTAGTTCCGACGGCAAAACGAACAGTTTATCTATCGTGCTTGATTTCCCTTGACGTGGGCGCTGGTAGTTTCAAGTAGAGGTTTCCGAAGTGCAGGAACTCATCGGGGCATACAACAGGGTTAGCAATCAGCCGAACAATTCCAGACATAGGCTAATTGTCTTGCTATCGGATCCACGCTAACGTGGAAAGATTCTCCATCAACAGAACTGCTCACGTTCACAGGAACCGCTAGATTCTTGATCCCACGTTACATCGCTGCGGCACTAGTGGCGGGCATGATACCGAGTGGAGCTTGGGACACATCAGATTACCATTGATTCTTGCCCGTTATCTCACCGGGATATATTCTGGCGGAATGTAGTATAGTTGCCAAGGATTTGTATTAGCTACGAGATATCAGATTAGATTGATAAGGGATGCTGGTCCACTCCTTGCTATCTGATATGATACACTGATTGGCGGCCCCGGCCGCCGCAGCAAGGGGCCCTGGTCCCTGGACCCTAAGTTAGTCGGGCCTATGGGCCCCAGTGATGTCCACTTCCCGTCCAGGTCTGGTTATGATCCCGGTATTACATGTATGTTTCGCTTGGTCACGCAGCTATCATACGATGTATGAGTAGTATTGCACTAGGTCAGGCTCTGGTACGTACCCATCGTCAGCCATTGGCTGCTGGGATACCCGGAACCGTAGCCTTCGAAGCATTTGCGATGGAGTTCACGGCCCACTCATACCTTCTGTGCGCCGAGAGGGCTTATATGGACTAGGCTGGGTCGTAGTGTGGGTTGGCAGGTTGTTGACACATCCATATGCGCAGAGTCTCCTATTCCCGCGTGAATTGGGGGTGATATCAATTCGCGTGTTGGGTAGCATAAGCTGGCATTGCCCCACTATTACTAACAGAGGATATCTCCCTGTGCTGGTAATTTTCAATCTCTTGCTTTCATCACAACTACCTAGTCTTGTGTTTTTGGTCGGCCGGATTTTGATGTCGCGTGGTTGCAGTGCCGGACCACGCCGATGAAAATTTTTCTCGCCCTGTTATCGTAGCGCTCAACTCTAGTGCGCAACTAGTAGTCACTGGCACAGTCGTAGCCGGATCATACCTGTGCCTCCCTTGTGCATACATATTGCTGCCGTACGGCTGAATCATTGCTTTCACGTAAACCTATTGGCGCCTTCTTTCTCATAGAGGTCGATTTTCAGGTGTCGACACCGGAACCCATCATGATGAACCTGCCTTCGCTCAATCATACGCAGCTCGCCCCGGATGCATCTCCGGACCAGGTGACCACGGCATCTGCAGCAGATCCCGAGAAGCCCAGTCTCCCGAGCCCAGATGCGAAGGAGCTGCAAGAAAGGACGGCCGACCTTGCGGACAGTGAAGCGACTGGTGTCAAGAAGGCCGAAGCGGCAGCACTTGTTTGGAGCAAAACTGCTCTGTGGGGAATATATGCCTGGTATGGACGCCCCAAGCTTCCATCGGGCGATATCTGGAGTAAAGGGGCTAACAACCGCCGGTGCACTTTAGGATTTGGGTCTGCTTCTTCATGCTAGCATTACATTCGGCAATTGGTACCAATGTGCTTGTTAATGCGTACGCCAATTTCAAGACAGCCCCTGAAATCTCAACCGCTGCCATCCTAGCCACAGTTGTCGGTGGTGTGATGAAGCTCCCTATTGCAAAGATACTGAATATCTGGGGTCGAGCGGAAGGGATGCTGGTATTTACCGGTCTTTTCCTGTTGGGTATCATCGTGCTCGCATCTTGTACCGGGCCGAGTGGCTACGCTGCGGGCTACGTGATGTACTGGGTTGGATACAATGCAATTTACCTGATTCTCGATGTCTTCCTTGCCGATACCTCAGGTCTGCGGAACCGGGCATTTGCCTTTGCCTTCTCGAATACACCGTTTATTTGCACCTCGTTTACAGGCCCTTTGGCCGCCCAGTCGTTCTTGAGCATGACTACCTGGCGCTGGGCGTACGGCGCATTTGCGATTATCTTTCCCTTTGTCCTCCTGCCTCTCGCACTCGTTTTCAAATTCTACGAACGAAAGGCGCAAAAGATGGGCCTATATCAGAAAACACACAGCGATCGTACCTGGATGCAATCGATTAAGTATTATATTCATGAGTTTGACGGTTAGTAAGCCCTCCTGCCATCTGCACACCTTCCTACCATGCTAATTTGTTTCTTGATGCTAGTAATCGGTGCCGCCTTGTTGATGGCAACGTTTATCCTGCTTCTCCTCCCCTTTAGCCTCACCACCTACGGACGCGCCCAATACAAGTCGGCCACATTTATCGCTATGCTAGTTATTGGATTCTTCCTCTTCTTTGCCTTTGTTGCGTGGGAGCGGTTCTTCGCTCGCAAGCAGTTCATCCGATACGACCTGCTCAAGCAGCGGACGGTTCTCGGTGCTTGTATACTTTCCGCGCTACTCAATCTTGGCTACATGGCCTGGGATCTCTACTTCCTCAATTTCTGCATGGTGGTCTACAACCTCAGCGTCTCGAACGCAGGATATATGAACCAGATATATAACGTGGGGTCCTGCTTCTGGGCCCCCTTGTTTGGTATTTATATCCGCCAAACGCGACACTTCAAAAATGCGTGTCTCTTCTTCGGCCTCCCCTTGATGCTACTTGGCTCCGGACTGATGATCCATTTCCGCGGGGAGCACGATAACATAGGTTATATTGTCATGTGCCAGATTTTCATCGCATTTGCCGGCGGCATGTTAGTTATTGGCCAGGACATGGCAGTCATGAGCGCCGCCGATCACGACGGTGTCCCGATGATGCTGTCGATCTTAGGGCTTTTTGCCAGCTTAGGTGGCGCGGCGGGTAGCGCCATCGCGTCGGCCGTTTACACCAACGTCTTTCCCAAGAGACTCCAGGACGGATTACCCCTGGACGCTAAGGGTGACTGGGTTGACATCTATCTCGGCGGCTATATCACGCAGATGGAGTATCCCATGGGGTCCGAAGTGCGCACTGCCATCAACAATGCGTGGGGCGACAGCCAGAAGTACAGCTGCATTGCCACTACCGCCGTCATTGCCTTGGGCTTCCCGTGTATTGCCGTGTGGAAGAATCTCAATGTGGACCAGAAGCAGAATAAGGGTGTCATGCTTTAGGGTGGGACGGGATGTGGGACGCGCAGGCTGTGTGAAAGGGGAGATGAGGCCATGTCTTCCTCTCCAGACTTGTGGTGGGTGTGCGTGCCTATAGTTTACATCCCTTGCGATCGAGACAAGCGCTACTTCTGTCATTGATCTTTTGTTTCTGGGTTAGATCGCCTCTTAACCCTTATGCGGCGTCTGAATACATTGCCACCTGTCTATAATCCTAATTCTACCTAGCTACAATAAGTACTTGTGATTGTATTCTATGATTGTATAAACCATTGACAATAATGTCTCCTGATATCTATATGATTAATCTACCTAATAGCTCCTCGGACATCAGACATCAAGCGACTGATGCAACACACTCTCGCGATACATTTCACTGCGCTCAATCAGCTCCGTATGAGTCCCACGGTCCACACACCGACCACCCTGGATAAGGAAAATCCGGTCCGCGCGATAGATGGTCCGCAAACGGTGTGCAATCGCAATAACAGTCGTCTTGCCCATGAATCCCGACAAGGCGTCTTGAATCTTGCCTTCCGACTCACCGTCCAGGGCACTCGTGGATTCATCGAGCAGTAAGAGGCGGGGCTTGCGGATCAAGGCCCTGGCGATCGAGAGACGCTGCCGCTGCCCTCCGGAGAACTGCTTCCCGGCATGGGTGCAGATCGTCTCGTATCCGAGAGGTAGCTCCGCGATGACCTCGTGGATGTGCGCCAGCTTACACGCCTCCTCGATCTCGGCCTGTGTTGGCGTATGCCCCGGTCTTGCCCCCAGGCCAATATTGAATGCCACTGTTCCCTCAAACAGCACATTCTCTTGAGGAACGATAGCAATGTCGTCCCGAAAGTTAGTCGACAGGACACGGGTCACATCCTGGCCGTTGATGACAATCGATCCCGCAGAGGGGTAGTAGAAACGCTCTAACATAGCAAAGATAGTGGATTTACCGGAGCCACTCGGCCCAACGAGTGCGTAGAATCGCCCTGGCTCAAACGTGACGCTCAAGCCCTTGAGGATGGGGATATCCGGTGAGGTAGGGTATGAGAACTCCACGTCCCGGAGCTCTGCACCCACGGGCATTTGGCTAGTTCCGGAGGACACGGATTCGGAACGCTCGTTCGCCTCGATGTCCGCATCCGACTTGCCCGGT